TGGGGGGGGAGCAGAGAAAGAAAGCAACTCTAACTTTAAATGCATTCTCAAAGCCCCCGCCACCACCGACTGGCTTGGAGAAGGCATTTGTCTCTTTAAATCCCTTTGCCAAGCCAGCCGGAATGTGGGGGGAGGGGCTTGGAGGATGCATTTAAAGTTAAAGTTGCTTTCTTTCCACCTCTCCCTCCCCCATCTATTTGCTTTCTTTGTTTCTCTCGCTTTTTCTTTCTACCTCTACCTCTCTTTTTCTGTCTCTCAGACAAATAAATATCAGCAGCAAACAAATAATTATAGTGGGACAAAAAAACATCATTATCAATATCTGTTTTTACCCCTTTTGTTTTTATTTTTAATGTGAATTTTTAATGTCATTTAATGTTAATAAAGAGCAAATGTGCATATTTTCCAATAAAAATGTGTGTGTAACATTTGTTCATGTCTTGTGGCTCTCAAATTGTATACAAATATGAGTGTTAACAAACAGATGTGAGAACTAAGTGTGAGTCCAGATGTACAAGACCAAGAATGTTCAATTCTAGGTAGCTCGACCTAGGATTAGCTGCCCTGGCAGGGAGGGTAGGGGGGGGTGGGGTATAAAAGCAATAAATAAACTCTGGGGTGGGAACTGGAGCCCAGGCAGCCTAGGGTCTGAGGCGGGGACTCAGCAGCCTATAATGTCTTAGTAGCCAGTTTGGTGTAGTGGTTAAGTGTGTGGACTCTAATCTGGGAGAGCCGGGTTTGATTCCCCACTCCTCCACTTGCACCTGCTGGATGACCTTGGGCAAGCCGCAGCTCTGATAAGAGCTGTCCTTGAAAAAAGAGCAGTTTGTGTCAGAGCTCCCTCAGCCCCGCCTACCTCACGGGGTGTCTGTTGTGGGGAGGGGAAAGGAGTTTGTAAGCCACTCTGAGACTCCAAGGGAAGGGCAGGGTATAAATCCAATCTCTTTTTCTTCTAGTATCCACCCTCCAAAGCAGCCATTTTCTGCAAGGGAAGTGATCTTGTCTGGAGATAAATTATAATGCTGGGAGATAAGCCAGGCTTTGCCTGGAGGTTGGCAACCCTACCACCCCAGGCACTTACTTAAAAACAAGCGGAACTCACCTTTAAAGCAAGTATGTTTCCAGGAAGTCAGCGCAACGGTGTGCTTCCTTTTAAAAAAGAAAATGGATAAATATCTTATTGCCCAACCTGAAAGCCAAGATCCCGCTAACCTGGGTGAACTATGAGTAGGGGGGATGTGCGCGCACGCTGAGGCAGTCATACTTGTAGTCATGGTTGCCAACCATCTCCAGGGCCTGGAGATCTCTTTCAGAATTACAAGAAGAGGAGAAGAGGTTGGATTTATACCCCCGCCCTTCACTACCCAGAGGAGTCCCAGAGGGGCTTACAAACTCCTCCCCCTTCACCTCCCCACAACAAACACCCTGTGAGGAAGGTGGGGCTGGGAGAGCTCCAACAGAAACGGCTCTTTTCCAAGATCAGCTCTGAGAGAACTTGTGACTGACCCAAGGTCACACCAGCAGCTGCACATGGAGGCGTGGGGAACCCGGTTCTCCCAGATTAGAGCCTACGCACTGAACCACCACACCAAACTGGCAACCTCTCTCCAGGCTACACAGAGCAGTCCCCCCCTGGAGAAAACTTTGGAGGGCGGAATCAC